TCTTTCCTGCCATGGCAGGGGGTCGGACTAGATGATCTGCTCAGGTCCCTTCCGACCCTAGAAACTATGAAACTATAAGTGTCCAGTCTGACCTATTTAATGATATGCTATTGCTATTTCAATGTTTTTTAACAGCCATTTTTTACCTGTACAGAATTTGTAGAAGACTGCGCCAGAGTGAATGACTGAAGAATTGAATAATTTCAAAATCAGAGCGTACATCAAGTTACTTGCCCCATAAAGGCTTGACCTTAGAGCAAATACCTCAGGTTCTAGGGCCAAGAGTAGGTGGGGATGCTCCTTTCTGTACCACAATTAAATTGAGTTGCTCAGGCATTTACATTAGCACTAAGGATGCCCCAGAGGGGCGGCTATGTCAGAAAAAGCAGATGCAGCCTTTTAGCTGGTGAATGAATAGAGCAGCAGGTGAAACACTGGGCATCAGCGATGGGTCAGTACACCACAACCTCAGCTGGAGGCTTGGACATGAGGAAGGTGTTAGCAAGATGCGTAGCCAGCATCATAAAGAGCCCCTTGACGTTTCTGGCTGTTGAGGGGTACAGAGAAAGTTGCTCAGATGAAGAGGATGTCCCTGATACAGATCTAGGCCCACCTCCTCCCACAACTTGTAACTAAATAATTCTTGAAATAAAATGTACAACCGATTTAAAGGGACTCTTACTTATACAGAATGATTCACCTTTACTAAAGGAAAACATTCAGTTTTAAAGCAGATACCAGTAACTGACACACGAGATTTTATTCTGAAATAAAATTTAAAAAGTGAGATAAGAATGGATGACAACTCTTTTGACTTAGAGCAAAGGGAAGGATAGAGTTTAGCTTTAGCAAAACCCATATTTATATATTTCTATATTATATATACAAAACAGCTTTTTCCTCAAAGCCGTTTGAATTGGAGGAAATAATTTCCATGAATAAAGATCTTTTGGCCTGTAGTAAGGGATAAATTAGGTATAGGGAACATTTCAGCTAGTCTTGAAGCAAAACCTTGGGTGGAAGAAAACAGCTGTTTTATCAATGCATAGGAACAATTTAGGAAGGAAAATCATGTCCTCCATTATCTCAGCAGTGAACCATGTACTGCCATTTTGATTTGATGCTATTCTGTGTATCCTGGTATGCAGCAACAGTAAGCAATGAACTGGTGCTCAGGTTACACTTCAAAGTACAAATGCATAAAGTAGCCTGTCCAATACCACAAGGGAATCAATTTTGATAAACCAATCAAGCTATGTTAAGAGGGATGGCATTGACCTTTCTACAGTTTTACTTATTCAGGAATTCACCGATATGAACATCTCTTTGGTGGTGACTGCTTTACAAAGGGTCTGGGATAAGAGGATACACCATAGTAGCCCAATGAAACGGAAAGTGGAGTTACAGGTAGGCAGACTGGTCAAATTCTTATTTAAGAAATTACAATGTGGCATTTTACCATCATTTAAAAAATAAGTGTTGACTTAACAGTTTATCATGTCATCTCCTGCTACTGGTGAAACAGACTTCTGCAACTCACACTGGACATCAAAAAAATATCTCTGTGATTAACCAACTCTTTCTTTATTTGCAAATAATATTAGGAAAGTAACATTTTGAGTTTCTAATATAACTGCAGCTCAAAAATTAGAACCAGATGGGCTTTCTCCATGTGAAGGTCCAGGTCTTTCTCTCCAGAAAAAAACTTTCATTGAGAAAAGCAGTATCTTAGAGTTACTTGCAGTGAGAAAAGCACACCACCTAAGAATTTTAATGCCTCGACACTGGAGAAGTTTAAGAGCATTAAGCCATATATCGTTAGCTTCTTCCATAATGACTCAGAGCATGAATGCCAAAATTATCCTTAATTTATGTTAGCTTGTGCAGTCTGTTATTTGGACAATCCGTTAGCAAACCAAAGTAAAGGAACTATTAATAGGATGCACTTATTTTATCTGTCACCGCACCACTCGCTGATTAATTAAATAAGCACAAGGTCCACAAACCACTGAGAAAGTATATCAGCATAGGAGGATACAAGTAAACCCTGTTATGTGCAGGGAGTAGTGAGACCCTGGATTTGATCTCTAAATCCTGGCAACTCATGCAGCAAAAATGCATCAGTTCTGCTGGATCTGAAGCAGGAGGCCTCTGGATTTGCAATTAAATGGCCCAATGCAAATGAAAAAAAAAAACTTTGGCATTCTGTGAGCATGAAGTGTGGAAAGTTACATATATCAACTAACCAGTGGGCTGCTTTATTTGTTGCCCAAGGCCCAAACGAAACTAAACTTCCAACTGCAGAGATGAATGTGGACTGGGAGATTCATGTATATTCATTGATTCCTGACTGTCTGCAAGTCTGTAAGACGATCCCCTCCCACCCCACCTCTTGAAGTCATGTATCCTACAGAAGTCAATACATGCCTAAGGCAACAGCAATATGCCTGCCTATGTGCAAGAGGTGGAATAGATAAGAACTCAGCCCAGATTTATAATGCATTTTTAAACTAAATCCTTCCCCAACAATTTCTACCCCACTTAAATTACTGGTGAGTGACTAAAAGGCTTTATTCTCCATCAGGATGGATAGTCTTGAAGGCACACAGACACTTAAAAATCCTTTGCGTCTCTTCAAATGTCTGAACAAAGAACTTGAGGGCCTTCCTAATGCTTTGTCCTTCATCCCAGCTGCCAGACAGCAATATAGGAATTTAATAGGGAAAAAAACCCTACCGTACTAGATCGAGTCCATATCCCAAAATGCATGTTCTAGTTCTGAGGGCTGTTTCAGATATAACATGGATGCTATGAATGCTCTTAAATACAAGCTAGGAAGAATAGTGTTTGACCCTGGCCCTGGGGAAGGAGGTAGTGCATACTGACCATTACATGCCCCTAAGGGAGAAAGCTCAGAATAGACTCAGAAGACCTGGGGTTTATTCCTATTTCTGCCACTAGCCTTCCCAGTGACTGTGCGCAAATCACTTAACTTTTAAGTGCCTCTATGTCCCCATCTGTACAATGGGTATAATTATCCTGATCACCTTTGTTAAGCATCTGAGATCTATAAATGCAAGAGTTGGATATAATTACTAGTTACACAGGCCTACAGAGAATGTTCTCTCTTGAACAGGGCTTTTAAAGACTGCATGCTTTTTTGCAAGCTTTGCAATTCCTCTTAAAACAAGCTCTGCATTTTTTGAACATTTATGCCAAAACATTCTCTCAAATCACTGTATTGCTCTAAGTTTTTATGATCAAGTTAAACATTTATAAA